ATTTGCTTTAGCATCTCTACACTGGAGAGCAAGTTTCAGAGTCTCTTCTGACATCCATTTTGACCTTTTCCTTCTTCCTTGTCTTCTCAGTGAGTTTTTGCTTTCATGTATGATGTTCTTGATGTCATCCCACAACTCTTCTGGTCTTCGGTCTTTAGTGCTTAATGTATCAAATCTGTTCTTCAGATAATTTTCAGCTTCAGTTTGAATTTGCATATGAGTAATTGATGGTCTGTTCCACAGTCTCCTCCTGGCCTTGTTCTGACTGATGATATAGAGCTTTTCCATCATCTCTTTCTGCAGATGTGGTCAATATGATTTGTATGTATTCCATCTGGTAGGTCCATGTGTATAGTCGTCTCTTATGCTGTCTAAAGAAGGTATTTGAAATGAACAAATCACTGGTTTTCTAGAATTCTATCATGTGTTCTCCAGCATAATTTCTATCACCAAGGCCATTTTTCCTACTACTGATCCTTCCTCTTTGCTCCCAACCTTTGCCTTCCATTCACCAGTAATGATCAAGACATTGTGATTGCATGTTTGATCGATTTCAGAATGAAGAAGTTGGTCTAATTCTTGTATTTCATCCTCACTGGTTTTAGTGGTTGGTGTGTAAATTTAAATAATAGTGGTATTAATTGGGCTTCCCTGTAGGCGCATGGATATTATCTTATCCCAGACAGCATTGTACCTCATCACTGATCTGTATATGTTCTTTTTGACAATGAATGCAACACCATTCCGCTTCAATTTGTCATTCCTGGCATAGTAAACCATGTGGTTGTCAGATTCAGAATGGGAAATACCAGTCCATTTCAGCTCACTAATGCCTAAGACATCGATGTTGATGCGTTCCATTTCATTTTTGACAACTTTCCATTTTCCCAGATTCATACTTTGTACATCCCATGTTACGATTTTCGGTTGATGTTTACAGCTGTTTCTCTTCATTTTGGGTTGTGCCCCATCAGCAAATAAAGGTCCCGCCAGCTTTTCTCCAGCGCGCTTTACTCCATTCGTGTCATCACAATCACCTCTGCTTTGAGGAGGCAGCTAGCTCTTCCCCAGTCGCATTTTGAGTGCCTTCCAACCTGAGGAGCTCCTTTTCTGGCACTATATCTGACAGTGTTTCTCTGCTATTCATCAGGTTTTCAGTGACTAAATATTCTTCCTGGGCTGTACAATAATACAAGCAGGGAATTGATTCTATTCTTTTATTTTTTTTCATACAGAGAGGATTCATGTTTATGAGGATAAAAAGGAAGCCTTGCAGGCTGTCAAAATGATCAAGGGATCTCGATTTAAAGCTTTTCCAAGCAGAGAAGAGGCTGAAAAATTTGCTCGAGGAAGTTGTGATTATTTCCCTTCTCCAAGCAAAACCACCTTAGCAGTGTCTCCTGTGAAAGTAACACCAATACTTAGCAATGGTGGGCTCAAAGGTAACAGCACTTCATACGCGGGTTGTTAGGCAACAGTGGTTTGTGCCTTCTTTCTTGGTATATTGTGGCTTGTTTTCTCTGTCTGATGTAAGTTTGGTTTGTCCAGAAGTAGAGACCAGAGGCCCAGGCTTTGAAGAAGCCATGGGAAGAGGGTGCAGGCTGGTCTGGGATGGGGTGTGCTATGGGTAAAGCAGGAGAGATGGGATGTGGAGGTGACTGAGACCCAGAGTTGGTGGGGGCTCCTTGGAGGCCTTAATGTTGAGCACTCAGGTCCTGTATGTGGTTTGCAAAATCAGGTTCACTTGCAGGAAGGTGACCACGTCCCGCCTCCACCTGAAGAGCTAGGAGGTCTCCTGTGTGTAGCCTTGCTCACTCAGCTCTGTGCAGAATGCTGCCTGTGTTACTCAGCTCAGGCTGAGGTTTTCAGAAGTCCAGCTGTCCTGGCTGCTTCTAGGAGGCATTGCCCTCTGCTTCAGGGTACAACTTTGTCAGGAATCCCCTCTGCCCCTCTCTGCCCCACCTCAGATTCATCCAGGGTTCTTTGTTCACAGAGCCATTCTGACTGGACTCTAGTTGGAGTTGGTGGCTCTCACTTGTGTTGGTCACAGTGCATCTGCACCACTAGTGGAGGATTATGCCCATTTACTCTGCAGTATAAATAGCCTTTTCGCACTACAGACGACAAGGACTGTGCTTCAAGCCCTCCAGCCTCTCCTTAGGAGAAAGATGAGACTTTGTGCTCCTGTAAAGAGTTAAAGCCTGGGAAACCCTATACAGGGTTGCTGTGCATCGGAACCAACTCCATGCACTTAACAACCACAACAATTGGCATCTGAGTTGCGAGCCTCCAGGAGAGCTTTCACCTCTTGGGTCCAGCACACAGTGCGTGATGGGAAAGTATGTGTGAAGTTCAGAGTGCTTACATCCTGTGTTCTAAATAACAGATGGTTTATACTCATCAGAGTCGGAAACTGTCAGCAAAGAGCGGGCCAACAGTTACAAAAATCCTCGAACCCAGGACCTCACAGCCAATCTGCGGAAGGCTGTGGAGAAAGGAGACACAGACACCTTTGCAGACCTTGTCTGGAGTAATCCCCGGTATCTCATTGGCTCGGGGGACAATCCCACCATCGTACAGGTAAGCCTGATTTCAGCACTGTTGTCAAGGAGACTCGGTCACTGTGGTCACCTTGCTCATAATCACAGGCGAAGCAAAGCTCAGAACTGGTGTTTTTCTTCCAGGAAGGATGCCGGTACAATGTCATGCATGTTGCTGCCAAGGAGAACCAGGCTTCTCTATGCCAGTTGACCTTGGAGACTCTGGAGAACCCTGAGTTCATGAGGCTCATGTACCCGGACGATGACGAGAACATGCTGCAGAAACGCATCTGTTACCTTGTTGACCTGTACCTGAACACCCCCGACAAGATGGTGCGTGGTCTCCTCCCTTCTTTCTCAGCAGGGATGTCCTGTGCCGAGTGTACCAGGTGTAAGCTAGGTGCTTGTAGTGGTGTTACTGTGCAGGGCAGGAGAAGGACTCAGAGTGAGGAGGTGTCATCAGGACACTAAGGCACACACTTGTTCACCAGAGTGTCCACACTGCCAAGCAGTGTATCCTCGTAGGCTGTGTCCCTGCCTGCTTCACCCTGTAGCCTGCGGATGGAGGGAAGGCACGAGCTGAACTGTGGCGGAATGACCCCGGGAACTCTGTCTGGAGTCTGCCAGGCTGTGTGTCCAACCCCCAAGTTGGAGAAGCCGTTCTTCTCTCCTGTGCTGTGTATTCCTGGAAAAGAGCTTGTTTGGCAAGATGGCTTCTTGGATTGTTTGTTCATTCATCATGTGCCAGATCACTAGGCAACTGCCTCACCCTGTGTAATGTTCCATGGGGTGCATAGTGGTCATGGGGAAACCTGGGAAGGATGTGAAGGCCCCACACATGCTCCTGTATGTGGCGCCCTCACCCTCTCAGCTACGCTACTCCCAACGTTTGGTATTAAGAAATTGTTGATAGTAGTGTGAGAGTCCACTGCCTTCAAGAAGAGTTACAGTAGGGTGTTAAATGGTCCAGGTGCCCACATGACATCAGGCCTGTTAAACCTTTGTTGTTGTTAAATGCTGTCAAGTCAGTTCCGACCCATAGCGGCCCTGTATGGGTTTTCCAAGGAGCAGCTGGTGAGCTTGAGCCATTGACCTTGCAGTTCAAACGGCTTTGCAGTCTGGCACATTAGCCTACAGTGCCACACCAGGAGTCCATTAAACCTTTAGGAGCAGGGATATCACAAATCAAACTATATAGAATGAGTGGCTGTCACACCCCAGTGCCCAGTGTTTCATGTCATTAAGCTGAGTCATCCCAGAAGTCGTGTGAGGAAGTGCCCTCCAGGTCACTGTGAAGATACTTTTCTGGTCACACCAGAGTCTGGAGTCCCACCCCCTGGAGCTGGGGCCACTAATTGCAGCCTCATATTAGACCAAAAACCATGTGATTCCACATTTTCTTAGAGCGCAGCCCAAATTCACAGACGTTGCTTGTGTTCAGTGTTGCCTCCGTTTATTACTTGTTTGACTCCTTGAACACCAGACCCTGAACTCGAGTGCTGCCGCTTCCCAAACACATGCTGTACCCAGGTGGATGAGGAGTCCTTCTTCCTGCCCAAGGCCCCAGCATTCGGCACTGGTGCTGAGTCTGTGCTGATAGCACATTGTTGTTGAGGGAATGGCGTCTTTGTCTCTGTTTCTGTTTTACTAAACACCTATTGCATCGTCTGGCAGCCTCCTGACAGTGTCCTTCTCCTTGTCTAGGGCTATGACACACCCTTGCATTTTGCCTGCAAGTTTGGGAATGCCGATGTGGTCAACGTCCTTTCTTCCCACCCTTTGATTGTGAAAAATCCAAGGAATAAATATAACAAGACCCCTGAAGATGTAAGTCCCTGTTGAAATGCAATGGTCCTGTGGTGTTAGCAATGAAAGCACATGGAGTTGGGGTGGTGGGCTGTGGTAGCAGCCATGAGTCCTGCTGCTCTGGCTGTGTGTCAGTGCCTCGTGGGCAACTGAGCACCTCCACGGAGAGAGGTGGCTACCCTCTGAAAAGCAGGAAGGTAGAAAACTGCCAAGAGGGCAGTGTTATCATTGTAGAACTGGGTCTCTTAACCCATTCAAGAGCAAGTTGTTTTCTGCTTGGACTTTTTCTTTTTGTGGACCCCACGTGTTTCAGTGATGGAATGCAGTTGGAATGCAATGTTGGGGAGGATTGGGTTTTAAAGTAATAAGGATTTTTGTACAGTTGTTATTACCATCAAGTTGGTTCCAACTCAGAGCTCAGCAGAAGGACTGTCCAGTCCTGCGCCAGCCTCACAATTGTTATTTGAGCACGTTGCTGCCACCATTGTGTCAGTCTGCCTTGATTTGGGGGTCTTCCTCTTCCTCGCTGACCTTCCACTTTACCAAGTGTGATGTTCTTCTTCAGCCAGCGACTGGTCCCTCCTGAGAACATGTCTAAAGTACAAGATGAAGTGTGGCCATCCTGGTCTAAGGAGCTTTCAGGATGTAATTCCACCACACAGATTGCTTGCTCTTCCTGCAGTCCATGGTACTTTTAATGGTCACAGTCTCCCTCAGTCGCTGTCCACCTTTCACACGCATATGAGGTGATTGGAAACACCAGACTTGTGTTAGGTGTATCTTAGCCCTCAAACTGATAACTTTCCTCGTGAACACTTTAAAGAGGTCTTTTGCAGCAGGTTTGTCTAATGCAGTAGGTTGTTTGTGTTTGTCTAATGCAATACGCCATTTGATTTAAGCTTTTATTGTGAATTGAGTGGAAGTTTACAGGGCAGATCATCAGTTTTATATTCAAGGAATCATATACTTTGTTTCATTACAATGTGTATGATCCTCTCCATGTACCATCAGTTAACAGTATTTCTCTCTATTCATTCTAGGTCTTTTTTTTTTTAAAACACTCAAGCATATATAATAATTTATACCACCAAAGGGCACGTTCTGCAAGTCTGTCCCCTGGCCACCAGCTCTCAGTCCCTTTCTTTCTATGAATCCAGAGTCCTCAGCTGCTCCCTCTCTTCATATCCCCATCTCTGCCTCCGTCTCTGGTGTCACTGCTTCTCTGGATAAAGTCCCACATTCTGCTTGTGCTCTTTTCCCTTGATGGTCCTAGACTCCTCTGTTACTGGACTGAAAGATTAACTGCTCCCCCATTTTTGTTACAAAATTTCTACTTTAACAGTTGTGACAGTCGCAATTAGTCATGATAACAATTACTGTTGTATCATAAGAATCTTATCGCCATCTGTTTTTGCTTGACCCATCTAGCTAAGACCCATCTAGACAAGACGAAAACTATTCAGTGGGGACACTTTCTTCCCCCCAATACTCTTCAGATGATTACATCTGTGAAAGAGAGGATGGAAACCTCCCTATCATCAGCCAAAACAAGGCCAGGGACAATCTGTGGTACAGACCATCAGTTGTTCTTATGCGAATTCAGGCTAAAACTGAAGAAAAGTTTCAAAAGTCCACAAGAGCCGAAATATAACCTTGAACATGTCCCACCTGAATTTAGAGATCATCTAAAGAACCAATTTGATGCATTGGACTCTAAAGAACAAAGAACAGAAGAGTTGTGGGATGACATTAAGGACATCATACAGCAAGAAAGCAAAAGGTCATTAAGCAGACATGTAAGAAAGAAATGACCAAAATGGATGTCAGAAGAGACTCTGAAACTTTTTCTCCAACGTAGAGATGCTGAAGCAAATGGAAGAAGTGAGGGATGTACAAGGGCTGAACAGAAAATTTCAAAAGTCAGCCCTCAAAGATAAAAGTCAAATATTAGATTCTTGGGCCCAGAGTCAGTGACATAGCCACAGAGGACTAGAGTGGAGAGTGAAGCGTCCAGCTGATAAGGAGAGGGCATATGCATAAGAACACCCACACTTGCAGATAATACCCACTTGACCTGGCTTCAATGACTAGATGATCAGCACTCAACCAGAAGAAAAAGAAGAGAGGAAAAAAAGAGTCTTCTGATACAATTTGATGAACTTGACCTACACCTATGGATGCAGTAGCTCAAAAATGGCAACAAATCTTTACAGCAAGGCTCATTCCCACCCCCTCCATACACAGAGTAGACAGGAATGGACAACTTGGACATTGATTACCCAAAATGTATGTGGGCGGGGAGGAGGGACCTTCAAAGGCAAGACGTGACTGGCTTACAAGCTTTCAAGAGGGGATCTAGATCCAAAGGGTGTGGAGGAAGGTAGAATCTCCACTGAGTAGTATCCAATCTGTCTAGGCATGATTGATGAAATGCGGCTAGGTCTCTTGTGATACAATAGTGAATGATTGTTATCAGGACTGTTTGTGAGGGTTGAAAATATAAAGGTAGACGTTTTGTAGCAAGGAGGGGAGTGATTAACTTTGCAGTCTAGGAGCAGAGGTCCCTGGGACCATCAAGGGAGAAGAGCAGAGAGCGGGACCCCCTACCCAGAGAAGCAGTGATGCCAGAGATGGAGGCAGAGACGATGACATGGAGAGATGGAGCAGCCGGGGACTTTAGATCCAGAGAGGGAGAGGGGCTGTGTGCTGACGACCGGGGGGCAGGCTTGCAGGGTGTATGTACCCTGTGGTTGGTTGATGATGCATGGAGGGGATTGTAACCATGACAATGAAATAATATACGATAGGGTGAATGTAAAACTAATGTTCTCCCATGTAAACTATCACATAATTCACAATACAACTTTTTTTTTTTTTAAAGTGAAATATTATAACAAAATATGCAAAGACTTGGCCTTAGAAAACCAAAAGGGAAGAACACGTTTTGCTCAGCTTTTCTCAAGCTCAGGGAACTGAAGAAAAAATTCAAACCTTGTGGTATTGAAGGATTCTTTGGACAAAATATGGAAAGATGCAGAAAGCATCATTTGATGTTATACACAGAGTCATTGTACCTAAAAGAAATGGTCTGTATTCAACCATTTCAAGAGGTAACATATGATCAAAAGCCAGTGATCCTGAAGGAGGAAGTCCAAGGTGCATTGAAGGCAATGGCAAAGAACAAGGCATGGGGAATTGATGGAATGTAAATTGAAATATTTCAACAAACTAATGTGACAGTGGAGGCACTCATCCATCTATGCCAAGAAATTTGGAGGACAGCTACCTGGCCAACTGACTGGAAGAGATCTGTATTTGTGCCTGTTCCAAAGAGAGGTGACTTAACTGAATGCAGAAATCATCAGACAATATCATTAATAGCCCGTGCGAATAAAGTTTTACAAAAGGGAATTTAAAAATGACTACAACCCTACATTGACAGAGAACTTCCAGAGGTTCAAGCTGGATTCAGAAGAGGCCGGGGAATGAGGGATATCATTGCTGACGTAAGATGGATCTTGGCTGAAAACAGAAAATTCCAGAAAATGTTGACCTGTGTTTTATTGATTATGCAGAACCTTTTGATTGTGTGGATCATAACAAGCTATGAGCAGTATGAGTATTCCAGAACACATAATTGTGCTCATGAGGAACCTGTACATAGACCAAAGGAACACTGAATGACTTAAGTTAAGATGTGCACGAGGGTTGTATTCTTTCAACATACTTATTTAATTTATGCTGAGCAAATAATCAGAGAAGTTGGGTTATATGAGGAAAAATGTGGCATCAAGATTGGAGGAAGACTCTTTAACAGCCTTGTATCATATGCAGATGATACAACCTTGCTTGCTAAAAGTGAAAAAGACTTGAAATACTTACTGATGAAATCAGAGACTACAGCCTTCACTATGGGGTGCATCTCAGTCCTCACCACTGGACTAATAAATAGCATCCTTATAAAGGAGAAAAGAGTGAAGTTTTCAAAGATTTTATTTTGCTCAGATCAACCATGAATCCTCATTGAAGCAGGAGTCAAGTCGTGAAACGACGTATTGCATTAGGTAACTCTGCTGTGCAAGACCTCTTTAAAGTGTTGGAAGAGCAGAATGTCAGCTTGAGGACTAAGGAGTGCCTGAGCCAATCTATGGTATTTTCAGTTACCTCATATGCATGTGAAATTTGGACAGTGAATAAGGAAGACCGTAGAAGAATTGATGCACTTGAGTTATGGTGTTGGAGGAGAATATTTCAAAGTACCATGGATTGCCAAAAGAGCAAACATCTGGGATGGAAGAAGTGCAGCCAGAGTGCTCCTAGGAATCCAGGATAGCCAAACTTCGTCTCTCATATTTTATACATATTATCAGGTGGGACCAGTCAGTGGAGAAGGATATCATGTTTGGCAAAGTGGAGGGTCGGAGAAAAAGAGGAAGGCCACCAATGAGATGGATTGGCACAGTGGCGGCATTGATGGGCTCATGCCTAGCAGCTATTATGAGGTTGGCCCAGGACCTGGCAGTGTTTCCTTGTGTTGTGCATCGGGTTGCTATGAGTTGGTACCGACTCGATAGCACCTAACTGCTGCTGCTCCTACTGCTTTCAGCCAAGATCCATCGGACATCAGCAATAATACCCCAAGTTCCAGGTCCTCTTCTGAATCCGGCTTGAATTTTGGTAGTTTGCTCTCATTGTACTGCTGCAACCGGTTTTAAATTATCTTCAACAAAATATTACTAACATGGAATGTTAATGATATTGTTAGATCATTTCTGAATTCTGTCTTTGGAATGGGAACACATATGAATCCCTAGTCAGTTGGCCAGATAGCTGTCTTCCAGATTTGTTGGCACAGATGAGTGAACACCTTCAGGGCTCCGTCAGTTTCCATAGCCTTGTTTTCCGTCACTGCCTTCAGCACAGCTTGGGTTTTGATCTTCAGTTCCATTGACTGTAGATAGTAAGCTACCTCTTGAAAGAGTTGGATATCAAACATCGACTATGTATGCCTTCCATCATCTTTTTATTCTTTCTGCATCATTAATTATTTTGCCCATAGCATCCTTCTATCTTGAATTTTTTTTCCCATTCTTTCAGCTTGAAAATTCTGAGCAAGTTCTTCCCTTTTGGTTTTCTAACTCCAGGTCTTTGGACATTTTGTTATCATATTTTGTCTTCTCATGCTGCCCTTTTAAACTTTCTATTCAGCTCTTTTACTTCCTCATTTCTTCTCCATTTGCTTTAGCTTCTTTATGCTTGAGATCACGTTTCAGAATCTCTTCTGACCTCCGTTTCGGTGTTTTCTTTCTTTCCTGTCTTTTTATGACCTTTTGCTTTCTTGTATTATGTTCTTGATGTCATCCCACGACACTTCTTATCTTCAGTCATTAGTGCATAATGTTCTCTAAATTCAGGTGCCTGTGAGTAATCGAAGGCCTCTTCCACAGTTGTCCCCCGGTCTTATTTTGACTAATCATTTTGAGCTTTTCCACTGTCTTTTTCCACAGAGGTGGTCAGTCTGACTCCTGCGTTTTCCATCTGGTGAATTCCACATTTATAGCCTTTTATGTAATGTTAAAAAGGTGTTTGCATATCCCTGAGGCAGAGGTGGAATGTTATGAATTATAGTTATGATGTGTGCCGGTGGCTAAAGTCTTGTCTCACGTTCGCTACATTAACAATTATTTTCTGCTACGGTATTATGTAAAGTTTGGTCCATGCATTGACTGATAATGGTCTACAAATTGTTTACTTCTGGTCTGTAACAAGTTAAGCATAATGAGTTAAATGCCAACACCAAGAGTAAGCGTTTAGAAACCTTTACAACAATGTGAATTAATTTATGACCACTAAAAATAATAATTTTTAAAATGGCAAAATAAAAGGTATTTGCAGTGAATAAGTTGTTGGTCATGCCATCTCCATATCATTTCTATCACCAAGACCTTATTTTCCTACTATTGATAGTTTTTTCCAGCCTTTGTGTTCTAATCACCACTAAATATCAATGAATCTTCATTGCATGTTTGATCAATTCCAGACGTAGGACATTGGTGGTGGTGGTGGTTTTTAGGTGCCCTCAAGTCAGTTGCTGCTCACAGTGACCCTGTAAAGGGCTTCTGAGGGTGTAAATGTTTCTAGGAGCACAAAGCCTCATCTGTTTTTCACAGAAAAGCTGGTGGCCTCAAACAGCTTACTTTGTGGTTAGCAATCTAATGCTTGTGTATTCTTCAGTTTCTTCATCACTGACAGCATTGATAGGTCTTGAAATGTTCCTTTTGATTATGAATATATTAGTACCCACCTTCTGTGGAAAGTTTAGTATCTACTAATAAATGAGAAATAAAATGTGTTAGAAAATTTCACAATTCAGAGATTACCATTATTTTGTATATATCTAGCCTTTCTTTTATGTGTATCTGTGTGTGCTTTTGAACATAAAATGCTAATTAATAACCAACTTTAAAACTGATTTTTTTGTTTTTTCAAACACTGACTTCTGCCAACAATCAATTACAGAATTAAAATATACTTAGTTGCATTCGTTATATACACTATTTAGTTTGTTCTCCTACTGGCTTTGAAGTAAATGGTAACTCTGTGGTTCCATTTTTTCTTTCCTTTTATTTGAAGGTTAAAAGTTTGTATCACTACAGTTTTCCAGGACTTAGAAAGTTGATTCCTAAAGTAGCAAAAAATATGACTCATGTTCCGTACCACATAGGGAAGGGTTTTGTCTACAATCAGGTAAACAACCACCGCAGTGTTCACTTGGTGGCCAGGCCCTAAAATGCATCAAACTCAGCAACTTCTCAGCAGCTTCATATATCTCTGCTCGGAATTAGGAGGGCACTTGCAGACGATGCAGAGCAGCCTGAGGAAAGAAACTAGAACTGACCATTACCAGAACATGCTCTTTTCAACCTGATCCCTCAATTATTAACAAAACGTTTTAGAAGAAAGACTTCACCATTCATACAATTTTTATGCAGGATTTATGAAATCTTCAGCGTTAAGAGAATATTCTCGTGGGGCAGTTCTGCTCTGTTACACCAGGGGGCGCTTTGAGTGGATGACATGTAAGGCTGTATATGAGAGTCTCGCTCATATGATCCAAGAGTAAATAGACAAAGGTTTACAAAACAGACTAAATGCTTTAGAGAAAGGAAGATCGCTTAAGGGAAATAAGACCCAATATAT